TGTGATCATGTGATGATCATGCCTATGTTAGTTAAGTTATAATTTCAATTTGAAACTTTATAATTTGTGGACCAAATTATAAAGTAAATCTCTGCCAAATACCCAACACACACACAATTTCTATTGACTTTCTTCCTCCACCACATTCCCACTTTGCCCTTAACCAGAACCTCAATTAGTTAGATTTACCCAGAATTTCATCCCTGAATGATCTGATCTTTTAGTGGCCTCATTTCATGAAGCTGCTACAGCATTCCAAACTCATGTTTTCCCTACCACTGAGGTCAGTTGCCCCAGCCAACATGAGAACCCTCTTTTCTTTTTCCTGCTATTGGTACAGTGTCATGAAGAATTCCATATAGCCAGGTGGAAATCTCAACTTCCAGTTCACAAAACCATTGTTGGGTCCTTTGGTAGCAACCATTTTTACTTGTTTATTTAGGCTTGTAAACCAAAATCCAGTGTCACAAGTATGGGAAGAACACTTTGCCAATGAATCATTAGAAGTAATATTGAAAATTCCCTATCTTACTTTAATACTCCAGTTCTTGAGCCCATGTATTCTGTGGCCAGGGGAGAAAAAGCATCATATATTGGTCACTGGTTTAGAATATAAATTTCCTATTATTCAACTTTATAAGGAGTGGTATTCTAGTTGGAACTAATTGCTCAAGCAATACATACTTCTGCATTTAGTTCCTACATGATTCCAATTTTGTGTATAGTACAGCTGCTTGATGATGGGGTATTGCTGTGAATACATGACTGTAAATAACACCCAATTCAAATGAGCAACTCTGGGCATAGAGTTTTTTGGTATGTTACAACAAGGAAGTCATTCAGTCCCTAGTGAGGACAAATACCATAAACGAATATTTTTTCTATAAAGGATAATATATACTTGTCAAGAAAAGTATGGCTTTCTCCCCAAACCCAAGGGCCCCTCTTTGTAATTTTCTTACTAGGGTCAGCTACAGACTTCATATTGTATACTGATTAACTACAAGAACACTGGATCTTATTGGTCATAAGATCCAAGTAGCAGAACTTCTTGTTCCCCAGCTTAGACCAGCTAGAGATCTTTATACAGTATTCTACTCTGGGCTCTTCTTAGGGTTTATGGCCTTAACATTTACTGTGTAATTAGAAACACTGCCTCATTAAGTTTATGATATTCTTCAGAATTCTTTTATCTTCTGCACAGGTCACATAGACAAATTTACTAGGCATGTGGTAGGAGTTTCCACCCCAGCATATGTCAAGATTTCAATCTGACACTGAGCTCTATAAGCCCTCTAGGTGAATATATAGATCAAAGCACCTTTGGGAAGGCTGAGTTTATAGGAATGACTCCCCTAAACCACTAGACCACCCATGTAGCATCTTGGTGCTTCTGACAAGATTAAGAATTTTAAAAAGTAGGAAGCCTTCGAACAGCTGCAGGATGAGCGAGAACCATACCACCTCTGCCACCATCTGCACCAACAAAATGCATGACCTGTGCCTTGCTTCTCTTCTTCCATAATCTCTTCTAAATCAAGGTCTCAGATGAATAGTTCTGATTGACAGAATGCAAATCATATCAAAAACTCTAACTTCAGAGAAAACTGGGAAAATTTTTTTCTAGCTCTCCAGTCCCTGAAATACAGGAAGATGTGCTAGAACAGATAGAGATGGCGTGGGTATTAGGCGAGTGTTTCCATGGTATCCACCACAGTGGCCTTGTATAAAATGTTATTGTTAGCCCTGGTCTCCTTATCAGCCTCTCTCAAAAGTTACACTGTATTTACAGAAAGGCAAGTGTCAATAAAGTTGTAAGGAAGAAGAGAGGCCATTTTTATAATAGTGTTCACAGAATTTTAATTACCTAATGATTATATACTTAGTTTTTGCTCTCATATGAACTTCAGTCATATTGGGGAGACAAAAGTTCATAGCTATGTTATGGAAAATGTTTCTTGGTAAAATTTTCTTCTTAGCAATGTTCTCTAATAGGACTCTACTAACTCTAGAAAAATAGATTTCACTTATAGTGTTTAACTTTTCAAGAGTCAGTGAATTAACCTTATATAACTTCAATACTTTTATATTATCCTCCTACAATATAATTTTTAATCCTTATTGAGCATTTACTAGGTGTTAGCACTGTGTTAACCATTTTTATTGTCTAACTTAATATGTACAACAATTGTAGGAAGTAGGTGCTATGACAGTCACTATTTTGCAGCTGCAGAACCTGAGACATAAAAGCTTATGTACATTGCCAGTGTAAGTCAATAAGCTGTGGAGCAGGGATTAGACTCAGGCAGTGTTAGGAGTCAGATTCTGCAAACCTAGCCTAGTCACTGCAGTCCCTTTTATTTTACTGTGAACTTTTTCTTCACTTTAAGTTATCTCATATCTTAAATACTGAGAAAGTAAGTACATAAACATTTAGAGCATTAGCAAAATACCCAACAGAGGTTCTTAGAACTTATTCAGATAAGGGTACTCTTTCTTCAGACACAAACACAAATGTAAAATTTCTGAAAAGAATAAGTATACTGGAGAGTTATGAAGGGTATGAGTCTTAGCCAATTACATATTTAAGAAATAACAAAATAAATAACTATGATTTCTATGGTAATATATTGATATGGTCTTATTATTAAGTTGGTAAATAAATTGATTTAGAAAACTATTACCAATATGTCCCCTAGAGCAAGAGATATAAAGGAAAGAATAAACAAATGGAACTATATCGAATTAAAAAGCTTCTGCATGGCTAAAGAAAACATCAACGAAGCAAAAAGGGAACCAACCATATTGGAAAATATTTTTTTTTGTCTACAAAATATATAAAGAACTCACATTACTCCACACCAGGAAGAGAAACAATACAATTAAAAAATGGGCAAAGAACCTGAACAGACACTTCTCCAAAGAGGACATAGAGAGGGCCCAGAGACATATGAAAGATGCTCAGCATCACTAACCATCAAAGAGATGAAAATTAAAGTCACAATGAGATAACACTTCACACCAGTCAGAGTGGCCATCATAAACACATCAACAAACAAGTGCTGGCAAGGTTGTGGAGAAAAGGGAACACTAGTACACTGTTGGTGGGAATGCAAACTGGTGCAGCCGCTGTGGAAAACAGTATGGAATTTCCTCAGAACTAAAAATGGAACTGCCTTTTGACCTGGCAGTTCCACTGCTGGGATTATACCCTAAGAGTCCTGAAACCTATGCACCCCAATGTTCATAGCAGTGTTATTTACAATAGCCAAGTGCTGGAAACAGCATAAGTGCCCATCAGTAAATGAGTGGCTCAAAACTGTGGTAATTTACAAAATGTAATACTACACGGCCAAAAGAAAGAAGGAACCCCTACCCTTTACAACAGCATGGATGGAACTGGAGAGTGTTATGCTAAATGAAATAAGCCACATGGTGAAAGACAAATATGATATGATCTCACCTGTAACAAGAATCTAATGAACAAAGCAAACAAGCAAGCAAAACAGAACTGGAGACATGGAAATAAAGAACAAACTGACAGTGACCAGAGGGGAGGGGGAAGGGGGATAACGGGGGAAAGAAGGGGAAGGGTCAAGTCAAGGCACATGTATAAAGGACCCCTGGACAAAGACATTGGGGTGGGGGGGGCTGAAAATGGGAGGTGGGTAGGGCAAGGGGGAGTTACAGGGGAAAACTGGGGATAACTGTAATTGAACAAGAAACTAAAAAAATATTTTCCTACAAAAAATAAGAAAACATTAATAGCTACTTATGCATGTCTATAATTATAATAAAAATTGCTTTTGAATTCTATAATCCTTTAACTTTCTTATTGTCATTGATTAACTTTTAAGTTAAAATACATCATTAATATGTCAATTTGATAAATATCTGCATTCCCTAAAGGTCACAGTTAACATGTTTCATTTAAGTATATTAACCATTTAAACATTTTATATATAAAAGCAGTATCTTCTTAATATGCTTTTAAGCTCATATACAAAAATCACAAGGTAGATACTGTTTCTGGGTTTGAGATTCTCCTTAAAGCCTCCTTTCTCCCAGCTATTTTAAAGAATATATTTAATGAATTTCCAATTATGCTTTATATACATTTTATTTAATGTGATTAATAATCAAGTGGTTTTCTTCCTAATAACTATATGTGAAATAGTTTGCTGTCTCCAACTGTTCTTTTAACTTTTTTTAATTGTGAGTACTTTTGCTGCCTCTAGATAAAAATTTAGAGCTTCTCATTTTTATTCCTCACTCTGAAGTGCCTAGCTTTTGACTTGTGCAGAATAGAGAAGTCCTCCCTCCCACCTGTCACTCTCCAGCATGGAGGTGGGACGCAATAGTACATTAATAGCTCCACCACTGACATTTCCAAACTTTTCTTTCATCCTTTTCCTATATTTATCTATCTATATCTATATTTATATTTATACACACACACATCTACATCTAGTACCTACAGGCCTAAGAGTTGTTTTGTCATATTTTTTATTCACTCTAAATCATTACATCCTTTTTTTGATATGGCAGGTGAAATTGTCATTTTAGTACCATGTCATACAATTCAAAATATTAACTGCTATATACAATTTCATTTATTATGATAATTTATCTATTTCCTATTTTTTTCTTGAAACTGACCTAGAATTCTGTTGACTTTTTATACTCCCCACAGCATGGAGCTTAGTAGTGAAGTCTTAGAAAATGCCCACGAAATATAAAGGGTCCAGCAGAAGTAATGCCTACTTGAGTTGGGTTGGTAGGGTAATAATATGGGTGTAATAATTTATAGTTTTAATTTGAGCACTTCACCTAAAATGTCATATGGTGTGCCTGAGTGTAATATTGTTACGTTACAGAATTACATGCTTATAATTTTGTAATAAAAGATTTTGTAATAAAAAAGGGTCATTATTTGTGCTGGACCCTAGATTTTAACCTGGCTTGATAAAAAGTAGAAACCTATTCACTTTTATCTTCAGTTTCAGGTACAGCATTATGTCTCTCAGAGTCTGGTAACCCTGGGAAGTTGCAGCTTGTTAAGAAAATCTATAATATCTCTGCTTCTATCAGAAGTAAATAGCTTCATTGATGATTTGGATGCCATCAGTCAGGTACTTGAAACTGTAACTTTCCTTTATTGTTAATACAACTGTAGGCTTTTTCTTCCCTGTCTCCTTACTTCTCTTCTTGCAAAGCTGATGTTTTAGTTATTACCTTATTTCTAATATATGGGAATACTGTTACTGCCTACTTGAAATTATAGAAAGATACTTCAAAAAATAGTGTTCAAAATAATAGCATCTTATCATCTGTACTTGTATGTATGTGCCAGAGGTGCCGCTGGTAACAGCAAAGGAATGCTTAAGCGAATGGCCTGAAATCTCCATGCAGGCAGCATGTTCCTATGGCAAGGCAGTAAGAGAAAAGGGAAAAAGAAAGGGTGCTAAGTGGAGACCAGCCTCTGACCAGTGGTTCTTTTTCCTAATTACTCATGAGAACCATCTGGCTAACTTTTAAATATCTTGTTACCAAGCCAAATACCAGTCGTATTAAATGGAGGTCTCCGTGGTAAAGGCTCTCCAGGTGATTCCAGTGTATACCCGAGGTTGAAACCAGTGCTCTAAGCCCTTTATATGTACCAAGTCTTATATCACTGTTGATGAATATATCTGAGGAACAGCAGTCATTCCCATATTTTACTGTTGACACCGGTATATTATATATCCATTTTGTTAGCTTATTTAATATTATTGCTGTTTCTATGGTAGAAGTAAGTACAAGTAAAGGAAATCAGAGGCAGGTAGAAATGTTTTGGTAAAGAGGAAAAATTAATAATAAAAATATATGTGTATAATTTCAAGTAGCTTTTAACTAAATTCTTATACCTGAGTTCTCTATATTTAATGACATATTCCAAACATATTCTATAATCTAAATGAATTCAGTGAATAATGGTAAACCACCTAGTCAGAAATTTTTTCAAGTGACTACTAAATGATAAACTCTCTTAAGAACTCTGTTAGGTAATTTTTTTAAAAGCAATTGCTACTAAGCTCAAGGACTTAAAAGTCAATTTGAGAAAGAAATAAGGCATATATACTAATTGGAGGGAAAAAAAAGTGAAGCATTAAAACACATGGTGCTGTTTGTAGGAGCTCCAAGATCAAGGAATTGATCAAGGTAGGTTGCAAGTCCCTGAAAAGACTTCATGGGAAAGAAACAACTTGAAAAATACCTTTGAGTTGAAAAAGAGAGGATAACAGAATATAGAGGTACCAGGTGTTTTTGTGAACATGTGTGCCAAGGATTCTGAGGAAATAGGTGAGGGCATGGCATTTAACAACAGGAAGTAATGTGGAAAGTTAGTTTAATGAGATAATTTGCATGGAGAATAACAATCTACAGAAATTTTATTTAATTTTCACAATACTTCATGAAACAGTTATAATTTTTACCTAGTGTATAGATAAAGAAATCAAAGCTTAGAGCAGTTAAGCAGCTTGACCAAGATGGCAGAAAGAACATATGCTAAAGATATAACTCAAACCCTGGCTTTCTGATTGTTATGCCACTAAGATAATGCAAGAACAGTAACTACTTTTCTGCTGGTAATGTGTGCTAATATGCTTTACATGAACTTTCTCTGTCGATTCTTCTAATAGCCCATCATGATGTTAGTATTGTTGTCTAAAGACAAGGAAACTATTGGTTCACTTCAGCCAATTTATGTCTAAAAAGATGCATGAATAGGTATGGAATTATAGGGAGTGCTGAAGAGACTCCAGGCCTTGCTTTCATGAATGACCCTCATAATAACCACACGGCAGAGTTTAGCTTCCAGAGGAATTGCTGCCTTTGCCATTATGACTAGGAAGCTGCCTGCTGAGGGAAGGAGCTACATTATGGCAATAATGAAATCATAGTCAGAAAGAGAACAAGGACTCAGAATGGTAAGGTGGAATGGGAAAAGCAGATACACAAACAAGAAAAGGAGACAAGTTGAATATATATGCTAGATGATTATTTTAAACGTCAGGCTAAAATGGTTAACATTTTTGTCAGATATAAGTAATATATGTTTATTATATATAATGTGAATTTTGCAGAAAACCTATAAATAAAAATATAAATATTAAAATCACTCTTCAAATTTTATGTTTTCTTTAAATCTCTGGGACAGAGTTATTTGGTCCTCCAGAATACTGATATTATACTGTACATAATTTTGTATCCTGCTTTCTTACTAAGGAAATGTGACTTTTTTTTTTAGTGACTCAGAAGTATTTCATGATACCTCATGTTCCTTAATTTATTTAGTCTTTTGTTGGACATAGAGGTTATTGCCGTATGCATTTTGATCTTTGATATAAAACTTAACCCATTTTCTGAAACTGATTCATGGAGATATATTTCAGAAGTTGACTTTATTAAATTAACTACATTCAACTCTTATTGGTGATTTGTATCCCAAACTTACATATAAAGATGATATATTAGAAGTATATAAAATATCTAATTATTTTTTAAAATAAAATTTCTCAAAAATTCTGAAATATAATTTAAAAAGTCATGAAAATTTACTGTTAAGAGTGTCCTTCCCAATTGCTAAAAATCTATAAACAAATAGTGAGTGAATTAAAGACAAAAGGCAGTACTGAACTGTGGTTCTAGAGATACAGGTAACATGATGTGAGCCCTGTGACTGCCTCAAATTTTGGGTTGGGGCCCTTTCTGAACTGGCACAGGCAGAGCCCAGGCAAATCATAGCAGCTCCCAGACCTGAAGGGGCAGAGGTAGAAGTTCAGGATCACTGATGTCAGGGTCATGGAGAGAAGAAAACTGTGAAGAGGGAGAGCTCAAGAAATTTATACAGAAGTTTGTTGATTATTTGTTGAATACTAAACTACACATGTGCAGGGAGACACTTCACAAGGCCCAGTGAAGACAAACCACTCAGTAAAGAACCACTACAAAGAAACTGTGAACTGAACAATGACCAGAGCTCACCCAGCTCTAAAGGCAATCTTAATTCTATCCAGGCATATTGGCAATACCTTATTTAATACTCTGAACATTCAGTAGAGACCCTAACAGTTAGCAGTATGGTGATTTACAGTCATAGGATAAAGACTATGCTAGATGGATTCTAACAAAGCTTATAAGCAAGCCTTGAGAGGATCTTGCTGATTCACAGCTAGATTAACTGCCTGCTAGAACAACATAACACGGAACCTCAACAACATGCTACCTTCAGTGTCCAGCAGCCATTCAGAAATCACATGTGAAGAAGCTAGAATGTATAACTGATAAACATAAGAAAAAAAAATTAATGAAAATAGAACCAGAAATGACAGAATTAATGGAATTAGCACACAAGTCCGAAAATAGCTGTTATAAAATATGTTAAAAGAAAATATGAATAGTAAGAGGAAAATAGGAAATTACAACATAAAAATAATATATTAAAGCTTTCAAACACTATTATAAACATTTCATATATGTTTATGTAAAAACATCTTTTAACATTTTTTTTGTTTAAAATAGTTAATTATTAATTTTAACATTTATGTTTCATTTAATTCTCCCAACTAGACAATGAAGTAGTACTAGGATTAGGATTAAAGAGTTTATAGCCAGGCCATAGTCATTGTAAACATCACCAGGTTATTCAACCCAGGAAGTCTGACTCCAGAGTCCAGAAGAGAAATTATGTAGTATTTTCTGTTACTGAATGACCATTTTAGTTCTTTGTATTTCACTGACACTGTTTTATATTTCAATTTGTCTTCTGCAACTGGTATATATATATTTTTCCATTTATTATTTGTAGAAGTAAAATTATTGTAGATAACATTTATGTTGATTTCAGTGTATTCTTCATATATAATCTACTGTGAACCTGATTTTTTAGAAAGTGGGTTTGTAGCCACTTATCTCGTCATCCTTTCCTATAGCTGTGTTTATTTGAATGCTGTTTCCTTAAGTCTTGAATAATTGTTTACATGATGCTGAGGATAAAACTTTGCTAATATCTTGACAAATATGTAGTTTGTATTAACCCTGCTTGTAGTCTTTTATCAATTGATTAAAAGTAAGAGTTTTGCCCTGGCTGGGTAGCTAAGTTGATTGGAGCATCATCCCATACCCCAAAAGGTCGCAGGTTCAATCCCCAGTCAGGGCACATACTTACTTAAAGTGTTGTCTATTCCCTTGTTGGGGCATGTGCAGGGGCAACAGATCAATGTTTCTCTCTCACATCCATATGTGTGAGTGTGTTTGTCTCTCTCTCTGTCTCTCTCTCTCTCTCTCTCTCTCTCATTTCCTCTCTGTCTAAAATCAACAAACATATCCTCGGGTGAGGATTGAAAAAAAAGAAGAGCTTGTAGCTATCATTCTTTTTAGAATGACAGAATTTTCTCCTCATGATTATTGTATATATACCATCTTGTGACAAAATCACCTTGGTTTTCTATTTATTATGAAAATAACTTTGAAAAATTGGTCCCTGTAGGATTGCACAGACTGCAGGCATATTGATTTTCTAAAGGCCTGCCTTCTTTGGCTGTTCAAAACTGAGAACAAAATCAAGACATTGATTTTAATTTCTCAATTATTATTCCATTGGGACATTGTGTTGCAAAATTTTGTAACTTCTTCTTTAAGTGTCTTTCTTCTTCTTTTTAGATAGAATTTCAGCAGCTTCCTTATCTAGGAAAGCCAGTGAGGAAACAAATAGTTACAGAGCATCCATGGGGTATGACTATCTCTATAAAAAGAAAAATATTTGTTTTTAGTAAAGTCTGTTTTGTCTTTAAGAATTTATTAATAAGTCTGCAGGTTTATCTAGATACCTAGATGGTATGCGATTTTCACAGATAACTCTGGCCTTATGATCAGGCATTGCTAAATTTTTTTACTACTGAAAGCCAGTTTATCAGTATGTTTTATTTTCACATTTTAACACAAGTAGTGTGTTGTTCATGTGGAAAGGTAACATGGAAAAAGAAGCATGAATGTTTAGTTTAGCTTTATATCAATATTAAAGAATCCTAACTCCAGTTCTAGCTCCAATCTGGATCCCATTAACCAACCAGTTGCCTTGAGGCAGGGG